GGTGGGAAGAGACTAACCAAAGAAGTTATATGCATATATGCATAACCCATGGACATAGACAATAATGGGGTGGAGACCTGGGGAGAGGGTGGTACTGAGGTGGAGGGGGTCAATGGGGGGGAAAAATGGGATACCTGTAATAGTTTCAACAATAAAGATAAATTTTAAAAAGAATGTTTTTAAAATTAACACTTTAAGAATAATACATTTCTCAAAGATGCATAAAGAAAAAAGAGATATGAGGCACTGACATTGATAATATATCTAATAACATAATGAATATAACCTCTTTTATAGCATAATTATTCATTTCCATGGGATAAATGTTTCCTCTGTACTTCCTATTCTGCAAAGATTTCCATAGGCCAGACTTCAAATTCTTGATCCCTAAAAATTTAATCAGGTAAAGGTAAGATGGCCCTATTTAAAAGCCATTCATTTTAAATTGAGAGAATCACAGGTCAGGAAAACCAGGTCTGGGAAATACATGTAGATTTTTATGGGGATAAACATAGGAACTGAAACAACAGTTGGAGACAGCTCAAAGACAAAGTGCACAGTAAGAAGATGTCCAAGGACAGAATCAGACACCAAAATCTAAACGATGCTAGAAGAAAAAACATTCCTTTATCTTGATCACCAGTGCTGAAAGGTGGTTGAGGCTATGGCAGTGGTATCAGCAATTTTCACAACCTCATTAAACTAAGAGAAACGGGAACAATGATTTTCAACTTCTGTATCAAGCTAGATAATTCAAGGCTACTATTTTGACACCTAAATTAAACATGCCTTAGAAAGACATTTCTAAAAATTTAATTATAATCTCTACTTCATTCTATCATAGACTCAATAAGAAACAAACTTATGAAAAATGAATCTGCATATTTCATAAAGCTAGTCTTAAAAAGAGTCAAGTATACTGTTCTTGTTCGTCACATAAAGGCCCACACAGTAAATATTTCTTCAGAATTCTGTGGCAGGAAAATAAAGACTTTCCTGCTTAACTGTCATGCTTCCCTACACTGAATAATGAAAGTCATGTAAGCAGCTGTATTCCCCTTAATTTGCTGGCTTTAGGAGTGAAGGAAGGAGAAGGGGGGTTGTGATTAGGCAAGGGCCAACAGGGAGTTTCAGGGTACCAGAAAAGTTCTATTAATTGAGCTGGGTAGTGGTTAAATAAAATTCAGTAGTATATATTCATGGTTTAGGCACTTTTCCATATGTGTAAATACATCATAAAAGAATCATTAAAAGATACTATTTACAAACACAAAACTATAAGCAATTAGTGATTACTTTGAACACAATCAGGGTTAGGGGTGCTGACCCCACACAGAGTGGAAACTCCATGTATACCTTTTGACTCCCCAAAACCTTAACTACAGTTGGCCCTTCGTATCCATGGGTTTTGCACCTGCAGATACAACCAACTGCAGATTGAAAACAGTATTTTTGATCCACAGTTGGGAATCCACAGATATAGAGGGCTGACTACACTAATAGCTTACTGTTGGACCAGAAGCCTTACATAAACAGTCAATTAGCACATATTTTGTACACTATGTATTATATACTGTATTCTTACAATAAAGTAAGCTGGAGAAAAGAAAATGTTATTTAAAAATCAAAAGGAAGAGAAAATATATTACTGTATTTATTGAAAAAATCTGCATGTAAGTGGACCTGGGCTGTTCAAACCCATGTTGTTCAAGGATCAACTGTATAACAAAACTGTAACA